TATATATATTTCAGTAATGAAACAATAACTAGGTGAGTTGTTAAAGGGCCAGGAGAAATAAGGACACAGTGGCTAACTCAGTATATATCTTTGTACTTATGTTAATTGCCTAATCTTTCTTTGCTACATCCACAGAATACACCATTTGCCTATGAAATGTACCCCTTTGAATCCACATGATTGCTATATTTAACTTTCACCCATCACTACCTGAACAAAAGTGAATGTGGACCTTCTATATTCTTATCCTTTTTGCCAATACTGATAAAACTTGTAATTTGTTCTGTACTTTAAATTTTCATACAATAAATTATTGTAGCATAATATAGTACTGCAAAGATCTAATATTAAAATAGAGCTAATTAGTAAAATCCATGTAAATCACTTCCTCCTCCATGACTGAATTAGGATGGCTTTTAAACAGCCATCAGTATGCAATAAAGGCCTTCCTTTGTTCCTTCCATTCTTAGTTAATTGAGCCAGTTAGAACATCTCTGGTGAGGGAGCCACTTGGGGAGTCTAAAGACTCCCTTAGCCCACACAATACCCCCAGGATCTAAAACAGGATCTCTCCAAGACCCAGGAATTCAGATTTTTACAAACTACTCCACAGATGATTAAATTTGCTGCTAAAATTGAAAAATATTGTTGTAGAGTTAAGAATGTGAAGGATGAAGGTCTTTGCTTTCCCATCTTTGATAAAGAGATTTAAGGTTTAAAGGGTTAGCATTGGACTTGTTCAATATGGTGATATTAAAGGATTAGCTGAAAGTTTCTAGAGGGCGCTTCAGGCATGTCTCTCAATATGCATCCTTTCTTAGCAGCTTGGATGATGACTGAGTGTTAACAGGAGGATGAACTAGTGAGAACTTTAAAATTGGGGGCCAAGAGGACCCCTTTGGATACTACATGATTTCTTTGACAATACAGACTCATTCATTAAAGAACTCACTAAGATTCTGCCAACTAACAAATGATTACCTTAATATAGATTTTGTTTTGTTTCGTTTTTTGTTTTTGTCTTTGCCAGCCAAGTGATGAAGGAAACATTGCTAAAGGCAAGATGCTGGCACCAGTGGGTCCCAAAGGAGCAGCACCCAGTGGCAGGAACAGCACCTAGCTCACAACTGGGACTTAATAAAAGTCAATTCCCCTTTATGCCTCCATTAATATTTATAACTACTTAAAAATAAACCATAGCATGATACCTGGTTTATCTTTCGGAGAGCAGCTTCTGCCTCGGGTCTGGTAATATAAGAAATGTACCACTCTTCATCCAATGGATGCTGAAGCACAAATTTAAAAAACCCTGTAAGTTCTGTAGTTATATAGATAACTTCTATAAATCACCAATTCAATTTTATGAGCTTTGAACCATTTGTTTTCTTGACTTGAATAAAGAATCACTTAGGCAAGACTATGTAGACGGCATTTTGTGTGAACAGCTTTTTTATCATGACACTGATTGCAAAGCAGAATAAGCTTTCCTTATATAATGGAGCCTTTCATAAGGAAAGACATCAGAAGAACTTCAGTTTATTATATAGTATTAACATACTTAATGAACAATCTGTGCTAATGGAGCAACCCAGAGACTGTTTCCAGGTCATAAACCAGGAAATAGATGAAAAATGGGATTATTTTTCTCATTGTTTAATGCAAAACACGCACGTGCCCTTGGAAGAGTCTGAAAGAACACCAAAGGAAATGATACTGTCCGTCCACACCCTCCCTTTCAGGTTTTTGTTCACTTGGTTGTGGTGTTGGGGATCCAGTCAGGACCTCATACATGGTATGCAAGGATTTTACCACTGAGCTACATCTGCAGCTCTCTCCCCTTTAATCAAACAACAACAAAAGATAACAGATATAGCAGAGAATTTGATGGGAGATTCTTGAGATCTCCTTGCCAAGGAAAGACAAGCAATGAAAATATGCAGTATTACCTCTTCTTCTCCTGGAGATGGTGGCTGAGGTCTGTTTGGGATGGGCAAGGGCAAGTTTCTGCCTTCAGCTCTGAGAGGTGATCTGTTGCTGGGACCTTTCAAAGTGTAATGCTTTAAAAATTACTTTACTGTAAACAATTGTTTTGTCTCTCATAACACACACCTCACAAATGCTTCTATAACATTAATTCATATTTCAAGGAAACAAGGCTTTAAAAATAGTTTTCACTTGTTCAAAACCATGGCAACTGCCTAGGCATTTTTCTCTGTATTGGTGAAACTTCAAGTCTCAAATTTTACTGATTTCCTAAACATACACACTACATAGTACGAAGTGACTAGATCCATTTATGAAAAGTCACAGTTGTTTTTATGTGTACGTCAGTAAGAATATTTAAGAAGCAGATGCTTATAAATTCCTGCAGTGTCAGTACACAGCAAAGGGATTCCCAACTGCCACTGCATGGACAATGCAGCATAAAGAGAATTCTGTTTACATTGTCTTCACAAGAAGAGACGTGAGTACCTTGAGAATATTTCAGCTTTTGGAACCAACATTTGCCATCTGGTCTTTTGTATGTTTGTTTGTTTTTAATTCTTGCAGTGTCCTAAAATGTAGAACTGTTGAACTCACAGGCAACCACAAACTATCTGGTCAATCAGAAACTCATCATAGAGTATCAAAATATTACCTAGTACTTGTGCTCCCCTCTTTTCTGGTTTCTAGCTCCTTGAAAGTTTATAAAAATGGTTTTCATCTCAGGGAAGACTGTGTTGACTGTGGGTGCCAAGACTGTCTCTATATGTCAGAACAGCTGTTAAAAATGGAAACTATTGCCAGGCATGGTGGTGCACGCCTTTAATCCCAGCACTTGGGAGGCAGAGGCAGGCCAATCTTTGTGAGTTCAAGGCCAGCCTGGTCTACATAGTGAGTTCCAGGACAGCTGGGTCTACAGGGAGACCCTGTCTCAAAAAGACCAAAAAAATCCAAAAACAAACAAAAAAAAAAACCCTGAAACTATTATCTGGAATGCTCTCTTAATTGTTAATTTATTTGTTCATTCTGCAATTGTTTATTCAGTGTGACGCTATCTAAATCGTGGGTAAGGCACTCTGCATACATCACCTTTAATACAGCAAAATAACATTGCCAGGTGGCTATTATGTTTATTTTGCATATAAGGAAATGGTCTCACCATGTCTAAGCAAATTGTGTACAGCAGTGTCAGGGCCAAGACTTAAGCCTGTTGTCTCCAAACATTACTCTGCCTATGTGAGAGCCCCTGGGGGACTGTACTGCCCAGGGCCCAGGAATCTGCATGCTACCTAGTGCCTCTGTACTTCTACACCAGGATCCACTGCTGTACCATTGAGGAGAGAGGAACAACTTGGGAAGTGCTGAGGTCTCCTAAGTCAGTCCACCAGTTTTGTCTAAGGTGACCTTCCCTATTTCTAAAGAGCTGGAAGGCTGGCCTTGAGCTGCTAGCACCTGCCTTCTCAAGTTGCCCTCTGCCTAAACAGAAAACTTACAAAGTGATTGTTGAATGAATGAAATTTAACACTATAGGAGAATAATAAAACCAAGACCTATCTTGTATAGCTGTATTTCTGTTTCTGTGCCCCACAGTCAGTAGCATGAAGCTACAATTTACATACAGTACACAGCTCAAATAGTTTTTATTGAAGTCGTCTACCACCCTTAATATCTGCATCCTCAAGGGAGTGGTGATGGGCTTTTGAACATTGCATAGCCATGGTGCAATCTTTAGATCCCTAGGGTTGAGCATCCCATGGAGAAGACTGAGGACCAGATGTCTTGGGATAAAAGGCATCAAGTCTGATTAAGAGAGTATTCTAGAAAATAACTATTTGTGTTAATTCCCATCACCAATTTGTAAATCAGAGATCTGTGGATGTTACTTTGGCAAATGTTGCTGTAAAGAAGTATCTGGAACTCAGATACTTATAAGGAACAAGCAGGTAACATAAATGCAGGGTTATAAACAATGATTTTGAGGAATTGTGAAAAACTGAGGTGGATTAGGGAAGTGGACCCCATGTGGTACAAATGGACACTGTAATCTCAAATTGGAGAGCTTAATGGGTGCCACTGTGTCTGCAATGGGTGCTCACAAATGGAATGACATTGCAACAGAATACAATGTTTGTAAAAGAAGATGCTATTGAGTTATAAGCCAAACTTCCTAATGTAGTTTTCTATTTTAAATGTGCTATTTCTGCATATGGATCATGACTACGGGGAAAAAAAGTGTTCTGTTTGTTCTACGTAGTAATGTTAAAATTTTAAGTCAATATTTAAATATTGGGTAATTTCACATTAAAGGCCATATTTTTAACTTCTTTTTAGAAACCAGTTAGAAAATCTGGCAGCACCAGGCCAGTTTCCTGACATGACAAAGATGTACTTATTAGAACTGGGTAGCTTTCCAATCATTTGATAGTCATTCAGCAAGCATTTTTAAAGTTGTATGTGCTGGTCACTGCCTTTTAGAAGAAAAATAAACACAACACAGTCCTATCTCACAAGCTTTTGCTAGCAGAGCAGACCAGTGGCATCAATGTCCTGTGGCAACTTGCTAGAAATGCTGACTCTCAGGTGTCACTGGCTCGACTGAATTAGCTCTGCTTTTAAGCAAGCATCTGTGTGCACACTGAAGTTTGAGAACACTTAAACCCAGAGGCAGAGCCACTGAAAAATGAAGGTCCAGCCTGGGATACAGAGATGGCTCAGTGGTTAAAAGTACTGGCTGCTCTTGCAGAGGACCCAAGTTTGATTCCCAGCACCCACATAGAGGTTAACAACCATCTATAACTACAGTTTCAGGAGATCCAACGCCCTCTTCTGATCTCTGTGGGCACTGCATGACATGGGTACACTTACATGCAGGCAATACCCTCACACTCATAAAATAAAAATATTAAATTTTTTTTAAAAAGAAAGAAAAATGAAGGTCCTGGGCCTTACCCTACTGAATAAGAGATTTCATATTTTATTTGAGACATGGTCATATGTAGCCCCGGCTGGCTTCAAACTTGCTCTTTAGCTGAAGATGGCCTTGAACTTCTGTTGTGATTTCAGATGTGAATCACCATACCTAGTTCAAATCAGAATCTTTGAGGCTGGGTTCTCTTAATTTCTCTCTTTTTATACTTTTTATTTTTGAATATTTTATTAATTTTTTTATGTGTATGAGTGCTTTACCTGCATGTAAGTGTGACATAGTGTAAAATGCCCTTGGAGGCCAGAAGAGGGAGTTGGGTCCTCTGGAACTAGAATTATGGACCACTGTTAACTACCATGTAGTACTGGGAACTGAATCTGGTTCCTCTGCAAGAGCAGCTAGTGTTCTTAACTATTGAGCCATCTGCCCAGCCTTTAATTTATATTTTTTTATGATTTATGTTTTTACCATGTTTCCCAGTTCATAACCTGAGAGCAGATTTATCATGGAAACCCGAAACTACAGAGAAGCCAGGCACTGCTTGGGGCTCTCTATGGATCAAGCAGGGATCTAGCCCTGTGTGAGAAGATGAAGGGTTAGGGCTGACCTGATGGTGTGTATGTGTCTGTGTATAGTGTGGTATTTTATGTAGTGTCTTCCAACAGCCCTTGGTATCTTACAGACATTGAATTAAATGTTAAATGAAGAAGTCACATTTTAGGAAACAAAGCCTTTGGTAAAAAGGCTCTGAGAGGAGTTGTAAATGTCCCCATGCAGGCATGTTGGTAGGCAGAGGTCAGGAGAACATACAAACCTTGAGAGAAGACTGGTGGCAGGGAGGCGCTCTGCTGAAAGCCACTGTTACTGTAGAGACATAAAAAGAGCAAGCTTTAAGTTGGGTTGGGGTGATGGGGCCTTGGGCTAAAGAAGCCACACTGTAGGTACTTATGACTTTCGGGGGCTCCTCCCTGACATCATGGGAGATGTGTAAAGGAAGGAACTAGTTCAATGTACTTTACTAGTGTCCCAAGATGGATGGATCGAAGTCTTAATAAGCTTCAAAACAATAAAGTAAAGCTTTTAATCTCTCTCCATTTAAAAGTTACTTTTAAAACTGAACTGTGGTTTGAGGTCTTCTTGTCTTCAAACTGGCAAAAGAAGGAAAATATACTAATGGGCAAGGTGTGTGAACAATGGAGCCCCAGAAACGGCTGGCCTGCAGGGAGAGGGTGGGTACAAGAGGAAGGAAGTGGGTGCTGGCTGCTGCATGGAAGCCTACGGAGGGCCCTGAAATGCTGTGTGCTCCCTCCATGCTAGCCCACCCGTTAGCCCAAATAGTCAAGGTCTGCTCTGGACAGCAACCCCTGTGCATGGTAGTTTTCAAGAATGAAGGAAGGGGTTGGAGCCTTGTGTGGGATAATGCTGAAGGAACACAGGAGCCATGGCAGAAGAGAGAGAAAGCCAGGAGGAGTAGGAAGAACTGAGAGCTCGAAGGCCCTGGGGAGAATGAACAATTTAAGGATTTTCCCAACTGTTGGCAGTAGTAGACATGCCTTGCTGCTGGTTCCATTGTCTGCAGTATATAAGGTGAGAAGTTGGACGTCTTTTGAACACTAAAAGATTTTGGTGGACCAGTAGGCTGGAGGCTCAGGAGCAGCATGGAGCAGCTTGTTGACTTGTCTGGACATGAATGATCTCAGTCTTGCTCTCTTTTCCTGTCCATGTCTCATTTCTGGGTAGTCTTTTTATGAGCCTAAGAACTACTGGCTTTTGAGAAAATAAACCTGAAGACAGTGGCCATGCATGAAGTCTTAGCATCAGTCAGGTGCTAGGCACATTTTCTGTTTCCCCATGCAAGATATAGGAGGACCTCCAAGTACTTCAATTAACAGTTTGTTAATATTTGTTTGAACTGAGCAAGTGAAAAGATTCCCCCATTTTCTGGAAGGGGTCCATTCCATGAGATAATCATGGGAGAAGTCAATTCTGTGCTTTTTTTACCCGATGTACAGAAACTCAGGGAGAACAGTGAACTGTCATATTGCCCCCAAAGCTCAGTGTGCTCTTGTTTCTTTAGACAGTTCTTCCCACTGGCTCATTTCTGTCTACCTCAGACTACCTGCCATTTACCCCAATGTTAGGCTGTGCTGGTTAGTTTCAGCTGTCAACTAGACACAACCTAGAATCTTCTGGGAAAGGAGTCTCAGTTGAGGAATTGTCTAGCACAGGTTTGTAGGCAGGTCTGTGGGGGATGGTCTTGATGGTTAATTGATGTAGGAGGACTCAGCACACAGTGGGTATACCATTTCATGGGCTACAACCTAAACTGTATAAGAGTAAAGAAAGCCAGCCTGTGAACAAGCAAGCAAGCAGGCATGGGTCCATTCATTTCTCTCTGCTCTTGACTGTGGATGTGCTGTGACCAGCTGCTTGAGTTCTTTCCTTACCCTGAAATTGTATGCTAAGATAAATCTTTCTTCCCCTAAGTTGCTTTTTGTCAGGGCGTTTGTTACAGCAACAGAAATGAAACTCCAACATAGTGGGCCAGACATCAATTAGTTAGAATTCAATGACACAGCCACCAACCTTTCTGAGAAGGCTCCCGGCATGTGAGATGATGGGAACATGTGCTTGGGGCTTGGCTTGGCAGATCTTGAAGGGAAAGTGTTGGAGCTCATAGAAAGTGGTGCTGGCTGGGGCAAAGGTCTTTGATGTACTGTGGGGGAGAAGAAAAAAATTGAGTTGTCAAGACCCAGTGTCACCAGGAACATTTAGACCTTCTCCCTAGTCCTTTTAAAAAAGCAGGTGATATAAAGAAAACTAAAAATCCATAAGAGTAAATGTAACTAGAAGATGAAGGAAGGAATCACATTCCTCAAGATTGTTCTAGCTAATTTGCCACCTTTAATGCAATTAAAACCGGTATCATTCTCCATAGTGAACATTTAATTTCATTTTTGAAATACTTACTTGGCAGAACATTATCAGCTGGAAATCTTGTGAGTCTCAGAGATGATTCACAAGTGTTATTTTGTTTTGAAAGTCAAAATTGTACATTATTTCATTTATCTGCAGTTATTGATTCTTGACCCACAGGTGTAAGTGGTTATAAATACTAGACATATTTCTATCCAGATACGTATGCAATTTTAATTATTCTGTGCAGTTAGGTACTCTGTATTGTTATACATGAATGTAATAATTCTCATTAGAGCCCAACCAAGGAATTCCATTTTTACTACAGCTATGCAGTATGGCAATTGGTATTTGTCTATCTATATTAATTTGATAGGTATAATTAGTCACGTAGGGTTCCACACTAAAGCAATTCCACTTAAATGACCAAGCAGAAAAACGAGAGAAAGAGTTGCAAGAATCTTCGGAGCATACCATCATCTTCATCCTGGTAAGGGGAAAATAATAAAAGGCATTAAGTTATCATCAATACACAATTTCTAGGAGGCTACTTCTCAATCATATAAATGAATCTGGTTCTTTCTTTTAGCAGTTATAGCTCTTCATAATAAATACGTTGCGGAGAATTTTCTAGAGCATCTGCCCCACTTAATAAACCAGCAGGAACTTGCTAAATGGTTTAAGAGTTTCTAATATAAGCAATCATTCAAGGACACACCAATCCGATATTTGCCTCACACACCCAACTTGAAATAGGTTCTGAGTTTCTTAACAGGACTCGGATATAATAGTATTTACAATAACTATGATTTACCCCAAAGAGTCATAAGTAATATTTCACTCAATTCCTCTAGCAATTCTTTAAGAATTTAACACCCTTTGCAAATGGAAACGACGCTCAGAAGGATTCCTGGCATGTCATGGAGTGCAGGAGAGGATTCAACCCCAAATCCACCTGGCTCAAAGTTCAACAATCCTTCTCGGTCTCTCCTGTACCACTCACTCTTCTGAAAAGTACTGTTCTCACTTACTTATGATTCAGATTACACTGTGCATCTTTCTCCTCCACCATTTTAACCTAAAGGGGCCGCCTTGTGAACCAGACAAAGGAAGGCTATTTTCTCTTCCCCTCAGATAAGAAATGAGGTTCAAAAGGACAAAGCAATTTTGCCACTGGCTAGAGAAATCAAAGGGCCCACTTGAACTTGTTTGTTAGGCCAACCCAGTGGTGATGCAATGTCACCTTCTTCAAACTGTTGTGAGGATTAAGTTAGTTGCTATGTGTGCCTAGCATTTGTTAAGAACTGTTTAATTAAGTTTCTTACCTACTGCTAATCAGAATCACTCATCCCAATGAACAACTGGAAGTCCCAGCAAAGGATCATACAAATAAACACTCAGGAATGCTCCCCAACAACCTCACTGTTGTTCAACACTGCTGCTCCCCTTTCCCCTCAGGTTCAAGAAGGTACCACTCCTGGATTCTCAAAATGAGTTAATTCTTCCAGAAACAGTGCTTCAGGAATGTGATGTCACTCTCACTGTCCCACCTCCACACTGCCCTGTGTCTCTGCAGCCAAGCTTCTGTCCTTGCTGTCCCTGCTGGCTCAGCTCCATGGGCATTGCCTCATATTTTTAAAGGCATTTCTGAGACTAAAAAGCACCTGGGCTTTCTTCTGAAGTGACTCTACTTACTCTGTCCTCTCCATCATTCAAGGATCATCACAGATCTCGCCTCCCTTAAAAAGTTACTGCTGGCTCTTTAATAAGACACAGAGCTCACTTTCTTCCCTTAGCCTGCTCAGCCCATGCCATGGTCTGCAGTTTCGCCTGTGTGATGTGGGGGTCCCTGCCTTGGTAATATTTCAACAAATGTAGACTCTAACACTCAGCTATGGGAACATCAGTTATCATTGACAAACATTTGATCAGGGATAGACACCTATGGTGGCCATCAAAAAGCATAGAGTGGGTTCCAGGGAGATGACTCAGTGGATAAAAGTGTTTGCAGCACAAAATGACCCACGTTTGATCTCCCAAACCCATATAAAGATGAAAGAAGAGAACAGAGTCCATAGTTGTCCTTTGGCCTCCCTATGTATGTTGAGACGTGTGCTTCCTTTATACATATCATATACACATAATAATAATAGTAATAATTTAAATTATAAACAAGACCACAGAGTATAGAGAAACCTAATGTGGCCTATATTCAGATGCAGACTATTGACTGCCTGTGCAACTTGGAGAATCTTATCCCTTCTGAACCTGTTTCCTCCAACTGATAGAGAAAGAATGATTCCTCACAGGGTCGTTAATTGCAAAGCATAAAGAAAACTAGAGTGGACAACCAACCTTTGTGTGGGCCTGAGGAAATTTATGGGACGTGGGCCTTCCAGCATGAAAACTGAGAAAGTTCCAGAAAACAACTGGCATTTATTAATTGGTTAATTGTTAACTGGTTAATTTTTATCAACTTGACATAAATTAGAGTTACTTTCAAAGAAGGAACTTCAACTGAGGTCTACAGACATTTTCTTAATTGCTGGCTTATATAGGAAGGCTCAGCATACAGTACGCAGTGCCATCCCTGGGCAGGTGGACCCGGACTACACAAGAAAGGCAACTGAGCAAGCAAGGGTGAATAAGCCAGTGAGCAGCGTTCCTCCATGGCGTCTGCTTCAGTTCTTGCCTCCAGGTTCCTGCTTGAATTCCTGCCCTGACTTCCTTCAATGATGACTGTGATGTGGAAGTGTAAGCTAAATATACCCTTGTTTCCCCAAGTTGGTTTTGACTAGTGTTATATCACAGCAGAAGTCGGTTACCAGAGAGTCAGGTGTAATGTACAGAACCTGACTGTGTTGTTTTTCAGAAGAATGTGGAAGATTTGGGAACTTTAGACTAGAAAAGTGATTGAATGTTGTCAGCAGAGCTTAATGGGCCATTCTAGTACAGGCCTAAGTACAGGCCTAGCCCAAGATGTTTCAGAGGGAAAGGGAACAGGACCTAAACAACAGTGGAACTAGAGACCATTTCTGTGATATTTTGGTAAAGAATATGGCTGTATTCTGCCTATGTCCTAAGAACTTGCCTGAGGCTAAACTAAAAAGTAATAGACTAATTTCTTTGGTGGAGGAAATTTCAAAGCAGTATAACATTGAGTTTGTGTTGTAGTCATTGATGGTGACACTTAGGGAGGTCTACAATTAAAAAAGAGTAAATGGGGCAGAAAGAAATACAGAATTACAGTTTGGAGAAGAAAAGAGCTCTAGGAAACAATGTGGCAGCTAAGGCATGTGTTGGAAGAGATTAGTACCTTGATAGACAGGCCTCTTGCTCTACACTGAAACAGAGAGAAGGGGGCCTTCAGGACAAGACCCCACCCAGCTTGTGAAAGATAGCCCAAAGGGTTTCTACTTCAACATACAAAAGCTTCTGCTAATGTGGTCTAAGGGGGCCATAGTCTATTCAAATCTCACAATTGAACTTGATAGTATTAACTAAGTGGTACTGGCTTTAGAAGCATGAAAAATGCCAAAAGTGTAGGAGTCATTGATTCTTCCTCCATGGTTTCAGAGAGTGGCTGAGGTCAGGCAGCATGTAACAAGGAAGTCTCTATTTAAAGATGGCCCTGGGAGGGCATTTTGTGAAGTTGGGAAAGTTAAGCCTAGGTTGTTGTAGAGACCCCCAAGTTTTGGAGATGCCAGACCTGTGAGACATCTTCCAAGGAGAGTTACATACAGGGAGAGGGATACAGCCTAAGAGAGGGATGTGTGTTGTAAGCAGCAAAGCTATGGGGCTGAGTCATCTAAGCCATCTGAAACTAAAGTCCCAAACACTGGACATGGAGCTACAGGATATGGCGTTTGCCCTGCTGGTTTCAGGTCATGCTTTGGTCTTGTATTTCCTCACTATGCCCCCATTCCTCTTTTGGACTGGGAATGTATGTTCTGTGTCATGGTATGTTGGAAGTATGAAAGTTGCCTTTTTTTATTTTACAGGGGGTTACAGTTAAGATTGCCTTGAGTCTCAGAAGGGACTTTGGACTTTTGAATAGTGTTGAGATTGTTAAAAACTATAGGGACTTTTAAAGTTGGACTAAACACATGATGCATTATGATATGACCATGAACCTGTGGGGGCCAGGGAATGGAATGTGGTGGTTTGAATGAGAAATGTCCCCCATAAGCTCATATGTTTGAACACTTGGTCCCCAGTTGTTGGTGGTGTTTATGGAGGTTTAAGTTTAGCCTTTCTGGAAGAAGTGTGTCACTGGGTGTGGGCTTTGAGAGTTCATAGCCTGGTCCTACTTGCAGTCATAGCCTGGTCCTACTTGCAGTTTCCTCTCTATCTCTGCTTCCTGTTTGCCATTGAAGATGTGAGCTCTCGGCTTCCTGCCTCATCTCTCCTCCATCATGGACTCTCAACCCTCTGGAACCGTAAGCCCAAACAAACTCTTCTGTAAGTTGCCTTAAGTCATGGTGTTTTATCAAAGCAACAGAAAAGTAATTAATACAGCCCCCCCTAACGTAGCATTCAGTAATATAATTTTCTCTCTTTGGGGAGCCATGAAGGCTTTCAAAGGCAAAAAGGAAGTCTTGAACATTTTTGTGTGAGACCCAGACTCTGTAGCACCCCCTCAGTTATCCTTTCCTCCGTTCCTATCCCTCCTCTACCTTACTAATTGTGCCTGGACATAGGGCTGCCATGAAGCCAGACACCCTGGGCGCTCTTGCAGGGACAGAAGCTAAGCAATTCATTCTGATGAACTCTGGGGAAAGAGACAGACACTAATATTTAAGAGACTACTACGTGGAGGTCTTGTTCATGGCACCGAACTTCAGGAAAGGACAAGGCAGTTGGAATCACAATCTCCCCAGACCTTATACTGGTTGTCTCTGGGCCAAGAATTTATACAATGACATTTCAGACTTACATTCTCTCTTCGGTCTGGTCCCCATCCATGCCTGAAATGAATTAGGGCAAAGAAAAAGAAGTGAGCATCAAGAGTTTCAAAGAGCCACCTCAGAATATAATTTCAGTAAATCTCATAAGGAGAAATCAAACCCACTGAGCTGTGGCCGAAGGAAGCTGCACATGCTAGCAGAGCGGCTGGGAAGAGGAAGGGGATGGAAATGGGAATGTGGCCAGTGTACTCTCTGTTATCATTGCAAGCTGAGCTAGGCAAACCTTTGTCCTGTGGAACTACTGTAGCAAATAATTACATAATGACACACACATATATGTTTAGTCAGCATTCTACCTCTATAGTAGCTATTGAATGTCACCTAGTAGATGTTTCTCCAAGTAAATGAAAACATTTTCAGTCATATTCTCCTCTGCAAATGCTTTAAACCAGCCATCACAGGGCCCACCCTTCAAGTAATGAGAAAATAGTTGGAAAATGTCCTTGCTCTGGGGCTTTTCCAAGGGGCCTTGGTGCCATTGGCTCGGATAAACAAGCCAGTCTAACAGCTTTGAACAATAACTGTCTGAGCGATGCAATGGCTTCTGTACTGCTTGGACTGCTTGTACCACCTCTTGGGGAGGCGGGCAAGAGAAGGGGAGTTCGCAGAACACCTAAGTGTCAGATGTTTCATGTGCCATCCATCAGTCCTTCCTGTGTTTATTGAAAATGTCGATATTTTGGTCATTATGACTGTTTTACATCTGTTTTGATTTTATAAAATGTGATGAAACCCTATAGTGGGATTTTCTTGGCACATCCTAGCTCTGGTCTTAATTGAATCCTCACAACAGCTAGGATGATTATATGAATCTTGATAGCACAGATAAACAGATCCTCGTTGTTTCCTTCCTAAGCAGCAAGGCTGGCCCAGACCTTGGGTACCTCTGTGTCATGTGGTCAGTAGACCCTGTATGACTCTATAGCAGAGTAAGAAATGCTAGGAATAATGCTAAAACTGACCTAAAACCTTCCCCAACTCTTTCCTTTCAGTTGCCTTATTGAAAACTAAAAGTGGCAAATATAGTTCCTGTTGCCATGTAGGCTTTGGTCTGACAAGGTAGGAAAAGTCCAGCAAAAATGTGACTGGTTTCAGACAACGGCTCAAGCAGCAGTCACCCTGAGCTCCAGACTAAGCACCTCTACTAGAGTCTCATATTTTTTTCAGAATCCTCAGGGCTTTTTGTCTAGTCTGCAGATTCCTTAACCCAGCAAAGAAGGGACCCCACCCTTCCCTGTAGACAGGCTGCGGATTCCACGTGCAGTTTGAAGGACAAGTTCAAGCAACCCAAGACAATTACTTTGGAACAGGCGGCTTCTTCCCAGGTAAGGGGCTACTTCTTTCATGTCTGTCCATGGCTGGTGGTAAAGGAAGCTTTTGTATCTTGGGTAAATGCTCGCCAAGAGTTCTGTTGGGTGAAGGGAGAAAAGATGTATAAGAAACCACCTTAACTGTCTGAGCACAGTTCTGCAGAAATATTCCAAGGTTGCCCTCAATACAAATAGCATCTTACCTTCCCACTGGAGCAGAAGGCTGTAAGACATTAGTTGATACATGTGAGTGTTCAGTGCTTTCCAAAGAATAAGGAAAAGACAAACAAACAAAAACAAAGTAGAACCACAAACAAACCAGAAGAACAGCTTACCTTGTCAGAAAACGGTGGCTTCTTTCCTGCAAGCAAAAGGCAACCGGGTGTTAAATTAAGGACAAATGGGGCTGGGGATTTAGCTCAGTGGTAGAGCGCTTGCCTAGCAAGTGCAAGGCCCTGGGTTCAGTCCTCAGCTCCGGAAAAAAAAAAAAATTAACTTGACAAACGTTTTACCTACTCTATCTGACAAAACACATAAGGCAACAAAGTTATTCCCAAATATAAAAGATATCAAGAATTGGCTCCAAAAAAAAAGAAAGAAAGAAAGAAAAAGAAAAAAGAAATTAAGGACAAATGTGAGGCTGAGAAACAGTTTGATGAAACCCAGGACTGGGTCTTCAGGGGCCTGACTGGCTTTAAACCTGGGCTTCACGTCCAGAAGGGAATTTGACAGAACACCTGATTGTATAAGCTTAAAAATATCCCACGGCTTGTCTAAGGTCACACAACTTATGAGCATGCAAACTGTGCTGTGGGATCTGTGCTTCTCCTCAACGTCTGACTTAGAAAAAATAGTCAAATGGATGTTTGTCTTCTTGAGACTTTGTATCTTTTGTTGACCACGTATCCTTGATCCAGGCTGTTTTGACATCTGAAATAAACCTATGTGTCATGGTAGCGAGCAGGGTTAGTTGAATTAAAGCCTTTTTGTATAATTTGTAAGGCAATCTACAGTGAACTCTCTAAACAGCTTCCTGTGACTCAGCAGAGCTGCCAGAGAAACATGAGTCAGAGAAACCGTAGTAAACTGTGGCTTCTAATCCAGGAACTCAAAGTCATTTTGCCAACAGAGGAGAATATTTGGGCCTTGTTGAGTTCCACTGGAGAAAGACTGGGATGGAGCTGGGATCTGGATTCCAAATCTGCTCAATTTCAGGGCTCTTTTCTCAGGTTCACATGGTCTACAGCAGGTTAAAATCTATGGTCTTCACTCCATTGTGATGTGCAGAAGAGTACCCACCTCAAAGTCAGAAAGATATCGGTTCAAATCTTAACCTAGCCGGACAGTTTTACAGTTGAATAAAAAAATAACTCCATGTGAAGTTAGTTAGAACCTTGGAATATTTTGTGTAAGTTTTATAAGAAAAACACTGTAGTATGCCCAGTGTTTAATCACTTGCACACATCAGTAGCAAAAGGCAAAATGGACAACTGAATAGTACCTTAGATTTTTAAGCATTTCCTCCCAACAGAGCACCCTCCTTACTATTAGACTGCCCTGAAGAAGCAGCGCCCTTGCAGGTCAATCAACTGGTCAGTAGCAGCCAAGGCAACAGACTGAAGCTCTCCCACCTCTCAGCCCATTTCCTCCCTGGGTACCTGGATACTTCCTGTTGGGTGGTGGCCAAAGGCCGGTGAGCTGAGCACACATAGATCACTGCAGCAGAAGAGCAGACACAGCCCAGGGGCTAAGAGGAGCTCTAGCATCAGGCTGATCTGAGTTTAGAGAGCCATCCCAATCATTTGATAGCTGAGCGATGGTGGAAAGTTACTGGGTTTTTGCCTAGGTTTCTTTCTCTGTGAAGTGAGGATGAGTCTCATAACCTCTACCTCACAGGATTGTGCCGATAGTAAAATGAGATGGTCTGTATAAAAAGCATGCAGCAAGCACTCTATAAATGTAGTCCATTACTAATATGTATCAAACATGAGACATACCAACCTAGTGTGAAGGGCTCCCGGTCAAGAGGTGCTAATGAGCGATCCAGGGAAGGTTTCGTGCTTCTGTCTATTGATGGAGGAGGCACTAGAGGACAAAAGGACAAAAGTCAGTTAAGAGAAGAAAGTTATTGGCTGGAGATAGGGTGGGTGGGCTCACAGGCAGTAGAAGGCAGCCCTGTGCTTACGCTTTGCTGTTTTGTGGTTTCGGCTTCTGCTGGGCTCTTCATGGTTGGCCTGGGGTTGGGATAATGGCTGCATTGGAGGGAAAAAAATCCAAATGTTCAGAAGCTTTTCCACAAAGGCCTCAGCAGGACTTGGTGGCTTTATCTTCCCAAATCTATCTGGATTTGTCCCTCTTTCTCCATCTTCATGTTCTGCCCACCCATAACCATCCCTATTGCCAGCTGAGCCTCTGTGGAACCCTTTTATCTGAGCTTCCTCAGTCTCTCATGCAAGGGGTTTTCTGTACCACAGGGGACTAAGCAGAAACTTCCCTGCTAAGGCCTCTGGGGCTCTAGTCATATCACAACAGAAATGAAACACAATACTACGCAAGAGTCTATGTGAGCTACCCCTGTCCACCCCCAAGCCATTCCTATGCTTGTCTCCGACACTCACAGGTCCCTACACCAGGGTCTGCATACAGTTCTTGAAAAATATGAAGCTCATATTCTCAAACATCTCTGTGTTGTGTTTCCACCGCCTGGAATATTCTCTCAGCTCTCCCCATGACTGATGTCCTGTGCCAGCTCCTGTCACCATCATGTCACTTGGTCTTTTGCCTCACTACATGTGACTCTTTAAATCATTTTTATTTCTGTTTACTTGTTTGTTATCAAAACTTTTTTGAAAGACAGGGCATTTTTTCTCTCCTTCATATTCTTTCTTGGGTACCAAGAACACTGCTTGGCATACAGGAGTTGCCTGGTCAATATCTGTTGATGTCGTGGGTAAATTCTGCCTCCTAATGGTGGAGGTGGAGGTCTTTGGACTTTAAAAGCAAAATGCCTGTGTAGGTATAACTGTCTCTACAAAGCTCATTTGCAGTGGTGCTGTGTCAGTGGGAGGGAGCTGTCTATTAGACAGATCTCACTATTGCCAGACCTGCGTATCTGCCCAGGCCGTCCTCCCACCTCCATCTCCCACCTTGTCATCCTGAGCCTTTGGTGCTTGCATAGTTGTTAAACCATCCTCCTGAGAAAAAAGCATCTTCCCAGCTACTGACTCCTTTAGACTGAGCTTTGCTCCATAGCAGCTGGATGGTACGTTCAAAGGAAAGGCAAAGGGGGCTGGACACCAGAGCTCCTCCTGGGCTCAGTGCACTGTAAATCTTAGGGTCTGAAGACGTTTGTCCCTGGAATTTTTGGATCTGGCCAGCAGGTGGTGCCATTATTTTTGCAAGACGGAAAGGGGCAGGCTGGATACTCAAGCCACACCAGGAGATGCCTGGGCTTTGGTTTGTTTATCCATTGCTAAACAGTGGGAACAAGTAACATGTTGGTCATTGGAAGGGAATTTTCTTATACACATAGTTCATATTGTTTATGGCATAAAATACCAATAAACATTACGACATAAATAGAAACCACTTGTATTTCACCACAAAATAGAAACACTGAGAGAAGCATTGGGTGGGCATTTTCCCTGATAAAACCATTTTTTACACACTTAGAACCAGGTAATCTGTCTGCTAGAAAAAAAAAAAAACCTGGTGTGGACACAAAGTGGCCTGAAAGACAGGGAAGCTTACTGAGTGATTCCGGCTGGTCGGCAAGGGAGGAAGGGCAGCCATTGGTCTCTGGGGGGGCACTGGAGGTTGCTGAGAGACCTTCCCAGTGGGGGGTCTGTCTGTGGAAACACAAGATAGAAATGAAAAAGAAATGAAAAATCAAAATAGCCACCAGCCAAGCACAAGTTCTTCGGGAATGTGCTGTTCCTGACTGTACAGCTCAAGGAGCTGGGCATCTGATCGATCCTTGTACCCCAGACCTCCACCGGCACCAGTGTAAGCCATAGCTACAATCAGACCCAGCCTGGGTCCTACAGGAGAGAGTCCTTGGCTCCTCGCCAGTCCCTCTTTCCACCCCAGGAGGAGACAAAGGTGCATTTACTCTCTGTATATATAGGAAAAGCTCTCATCTCAGTTCACAGGAGCAATGCCAATGTCTTTGGAATTACCTCAGCGAGTGGTTTCAGACAGAATCCCACATGCACACATATACTAATGCATACATGCATGCACACATGAACCTGTGTGCATATATGCACACACAAAACACACATGTGCATGTTCATATGTATTGCACACAGGTATATCCAGAAACACATGTGTATGCTTACATGTATGCATGCACAGAAACACACATGTGCATACCTACATATATATATACTCACGCTGCACATGTGCCTGTTGGAGTTAAGTGGGCTGTCTCCCCGCGGGCCTCTTGCTCTGTCCATTCCTTCTCTCACAAATGTTCTGGTTGCTCTCACCCTTCTGCTTCTCCCTTTTGCCTGTCTCTTCCCTAAAAGGGAGGAACTGGCCCCCTACTCTGTTAAGGAATCAGACAGTGCCTGGGCTGGCCTTGGACAGAAACTTACATTACTCAAATTGCACCACAGAGCTCCTGGCCAGTTTGACAGGTTGGCAGTTTTTCATGCCTTAGGCTAGGGAAGGCCAGGACAGAACTGAGGCCTGAACAGCAAGTGGGCAAGGGTCTCCTTGTGTCTTGTGCCCCAGGCACCCCTCTTGTCTCTCTATTCTCAGCTCTGGAAGGAATTCCCTTCTCCTTTCAGGGGCTCAGAGCAAGGGCAAGCCAGGTCTTAGCTCAGTCCAGTAGCCACCTTTCAGCTTCTCCAATGTGTCACGTTCCTTAGGTCTTCAGGGCCTTTGCACAGCCATTCCACTGCTTTGAATGTTCCTCCCTCAACTCCCTCATTTAACCTTCCAGCATCATTTAACCAACTCATACCCACTCTTCAGTATCAGCTCAATACCACAGCTCAGTATCAGTCCAGAGGGACCAAGACCATCATCTCCTCCTTTTATCATCCTGGTTCAGTTAAACAACCTGATGCATTTTTTGGTGTTGCTTCACCCACTGGACTATGAATGTGTTAGGATGAGGGTGGTCTTGCTTACTCTGTATCTGTATAACAGGCACATAGGAGATGCTCAACAGCTTAGTTTTCCATTTCTTCACTGGACCTCCATTTTCCTAAATCTGAAACAGCTTTGATCATTGCTTTTATGGCACAAGCTCCTTTGACTATTACCTTGAGTGTTTTGTCTTCCAGTACATAAAGTGAGATGGGGGAGGGAGAGCTGTAGTAGAGTGCAACACAGCTTCCGGGATTAGATGTATTATAATCCGGGCATTAACACCACCAGCTTCCTGAATGCTTACTCCCTGATGAATAATATGCAACCGTGCCTGTGTTCATTTTCTGTAACTTCTACTACTAGGGTGTAATTCCCAGGAGACAAAGGTGCATCTTGCTTCCTGATGACTTCCAGCACATGGTGTCTAGCTCACTGTAGGAGAAGAGCAATTTTTGTGAATGAATGAATGAATGAATGAATGAGGGAGATGTGGGTTTGGAGGAACAAGTAGATGAGGAACATCCTAAAGACTGTCTCATTGTAAAGTCAGGGTCAAACCTGAGCACTTTTATGTTTATTCTGACAGTCTGTAGGTAGCAGTACCATGTAACTGTGACAGGGTCCACTGCCAGTCAGCAGTGGTTTGCCTGCAGTGCTGCCCCTTCTTACAGCAAACCTCTGTTCTCTGAACTATTGTCAGCCTGTTTCAAAGTGAGGGAATGCCCAGAGAGGAGTCTCTAGTCTTAATCCACACAGCTGTTCAGAACCTGAGCAGGAGTCAACACCTAGACGTTTCTGTTACGTGGAAAACTCAGTGGGCAGCTGGTCCAGGGGCTGCCAGGGCCAGCAGGCTGGGAAGAAGCCTTACCGATGTACATGGAGTTGGTGTTGGGGAAAGGCTTGGCAGGCAGGATGGAGTTCTGCAGAGCCTCCTCATCATTGGACGGGGGAGGCTCATAGTCCGCAGCATCTTCCACCAGAGCCTCATCTTCCTCATTGGGGGACTCATAGTCACCATCGTCCTCCCCATCAGGATCATCATCATTGGGACTTTCGTAGTCATCATCTTCCTGCCACCAAGGAAAGGGACAACACAACCTAGAGAGGCGCTATTGGAACTATACACAGTTGTGTCCACTCTTCATTCAGTGAATGCACCCTGGGATCGCCTGAGGAGGAAGACGTCCTTCACACCAGTGAAGAAAGATCTTGGGAGTACAAGGTCTCAAGGCCATGTTTTTCTGGCCCTGGGACCCTGGCCAAGCTCCTTTGACTATTACCTTGAGAGAAAAACTAGGATGGTCACTGGAGCCAATGGTGAATGGGCTGTCTCTGGGAAATTGTGAAGAGAAAGAATGGGGCTAGAAAGATGACTCAGAGATTATGAGCACTGACTGCTATTTCAGAGGATCTGGGTTCAATTCCCAGCACCCACATGGAGGCTAAGAACTGCATATAACTCTAGTTCCAGGAGATCCGACGCCTTCTTCTGACCTCTGCAGGTATTGCATGATATGAGTGCACTTACATGCATGCAGGCAATACACTCATACACATAAAATAGAATAAAAATAATAAAAATTGAAAATAGAAAGAATATAAGGCTTGGGGCATTTGTGATGACACTAGTGAACTATCATTTCCATTCCTAGCACACCTGTGCTCACATCATTGCTTCTCATGGTAATGGATGGCAGCACTGAAGACTGAGCGAATGGAGGAAATTGGATAAACAATGCTGGGAATTGCAAGGCAGACTAAGATGCTTTTGGGGGCTGGAGATGGATCTCAGGGATAAAGGGCTTGCCTAGCTTGTGACAGGCCCTGGGTTCCATCCCCAGCACCACAAGCAGAGGAGGAAGAGGAAGAGAGAAAAGGCATGTCTGGAAAAATGTTCTGAACTGTTCTTTCTGCTGAGTTGAGTGTATAGAAATAAAGACATGTGGCTTACAGCACATTTGCTTTCCTGGAAAAGACTTTCCACAGTTTAGACTTTTAAAAATATTTTATTTATTATTTATTATTTTATGTGTATGAGTGTATTGCCTGCATGTGTGTAAGTGCACCTATGTCATGCAATGTCTACAGAGGTCAGAAGAGGGCATTAGATCCCCTGGAACTGGAGTTACAGACAGTTCTTAGCCTCCATGTGGGTGCTGGGAATTGAACCCAGGCCTTCTGCAACAGCAGTCGGTGCTCTTAATCCCTGAACTACCTCTCCAGTCCAGTTAGACTTCATGGGTCTCGCAGAAAGGAGACTCAAGGTGCAGCTTTGAAGTGAACCATGAAAGTAGACAGTCCTCATAATGACTCCCAGGGAAAAGACTTATCAGCCATTACATCTGGCCAAGGTCAAGTAGGTTAAGCAGACATGCCTGAGGAAGTAGGCATTTTTGAGGAAGATTATGGACCAGTATCCTATGAACCCTGCCGACTTGGCTAGGTGGCTTATGGAAGGGTGGCTCCAAGCCATTTGGTTGAAAGATTTCCACATTCACTTTCAATCTGATGAATATTTGGAGCAACAAGTGGGAAGGCAAAGGAAAGGCTGAATGCCTTCATCAACTCTGAAAAGTACTTTACCCTGTCAGTGTAGCTGTAACTTAAGAGTTGGTGGGCCAAACCTTGGAAGAACAGGACTTCGGGACAGTCGCCTTAGAGCCGACGGGTGTGTTCCTCCCTTCCTTCTAGGATGACATCAGCTCCTCTCTCAGTCTGGTTGACCTGGCTCCTCATTTTCCCCCAGCCTCACAAGCCTTTCTTAAGTGACAAATATTTCCTCTCTGCTTCTAGAAGAATGATCTTCGCCCAGCCATTCGACTGTTAGTATGTATTCATGCTTTTGTTACCGTATGCGACATTCATGCTGTGGCTGAGTTTTTCATCTTTGCCCAAGTTCCCAGAGTCCCCTGGACAGAACTGGGCTCAAAAGGAAGCTACAAAGGTGATGGGCTCCAGCACCTGGAAACCCATGGTTTGGGGTTTCCTGAGTACAGAAAGGCCCAAGACAAGCAGTGGCACCTATCCAGATGTTGTCTGAAAGCATAAGCACATCTGGGAAAACTGGTTTCTCGTCTCTTTTGTATAAGATAATGCTGTTATATTCCTTTGTTTTCCCATGAAAATAACACAAAATTCATCCAAAGAATTTTTTTTTCAAAGGAAATGCTTTTCTTTACTAGAATCCTAATAGGACAAGGGATGTTCCAAACATGGTTTCTAAAACCCTAAAGGCAGCCATTTACCAGAAAGAGCACTGGAATGAGGGTCAGGCAGCCTGGGGCTCAGGTCTGCTTCTATCTGGCATAGAGTTTTGTACTAGCTCCCTCGTTTCTTCTATAAAATAAAAAGATTGGGTTCTGATCCATCACTGAGTTCTTAGCCCAGGTCAGACTGGCTATGTGTGTGGTGACTCCTTATAGTTTGAGAGGAAGAGGGATACACAATGCATCTGACTCTTAAAGGGGTCACCATTACCCCTCAATGTAAAAACCAACTAGAATGGGGTCTTTTCAGTACTAATATTCCACCCTGAAATGCTTTTCCTCTGTGCCACCAATGGGGACTCAAGACTATAAGCAGTTACTTTACCACAGATTTCTAGGAAAGAAGTTTGGGAAATGGATCGGTGAGTGTGGTAATGGTGAATAATGGTATGGCTAGCAATCTACAGCCCAGAGGTCAGTCCAGCCCAGTCTCTGTGTTCATAAAGAGAGCTTTGTTGTCACAGTTGAACCCACTTTGCACACTGTCTGTGGCTGCTTTTGTGCCACAGAGTAGTGGAGAGAGAAACCTTTGGGCTTCCAAGGCTGAAAATATTTATGGCCTGGTCCTTTCTGAGCCCTGAAGTGGGGCCTGCCAGTGCCTTGTCAGGACCTTGCTCCTTTTTCATCATTATGATCAGTATTTAATACAAAGCCACAAGGACGGAGCAGCCCAAGCTATACTCACAAAGGATGACCAGCCACCATTGTCCTCTTCATGGCTTTCTGTGAAGAAGATAAGACTATCATCAGCACCCAAAGAAGCTGCCACCTGGAGATCCAAGCAGCTCTCCCACCTGATGCCCATCACAGGCCTTCATCCTTCTTCATCCCACCTTCTTCATATCTGGGGGTCAGCAACTGCTGTGGTTGGATACAACCCGAGCTCGTATTAAATCTGGTTTTCAATGTAATGCTATTAAGAGGTGGTGGGAATTTAAGAGATAATTAGGTCAAGGAAACCTCAGCAATGAATGGATATCTTTCTCCAGAGACTGAATCAGGTCTCTCCAGACTGGGCTAGGTCTCACAGGAGTCTTCTGGGTCTCATGGAACTAAATTACTTATTACAAGAGAACCCACCCATGTCCCTTTGCTAGGCTCACATTTTCCCACAATTTGCTGTCACATCCTAACCAGAAGTTGGGCTGATGGCTCAACTTTGAGTTAAAGAAGCCTCTTTCTTTTATGAAGTATCCAGCCTCGGTGCTTTGTGATAGCAACAGAAAATATACTAAGATAGCAACTTACTATCAGCTATAGCATTTCTACCTGAACAGGGCAACATGATTCTAAATCTTCCTCATAGGCCAGCTGGAGCTAGAGGGAGACCCTGTTTCAAAAAGACCAAAAAAAGGGGCTGGAGAGATGTCTCAGCAGTTAAGAACACTGGTTGTTCTTGCAGAAGATCCAGGTTCAAACCCCAGCACCCACATGACAGCTAACAACCATCCACAACTCCAGTTCCAGGGGATCTGGCACCCTCTTCTGTCTTTTGTAGGCTTTGTATGACATGGGTGTACACACGTGCAGGCAACACTCATACATGTAAAATAAAAAATAATAAATAAAAAGTCATTCAAGAGTGTTTTCATATATGCAATGTCTGGGGCCCTATCCCTAGGGCTTCTGATTCAGCAGGACTAGGTGGAACCCAGAAATCTGCATCTTGATATCACATGCAATTTAGCAGTGGAACAACTGCTTCAAAGAGGACCTTGGCTCAACTCAGGTATTTAGTCACAAACTGACTCTAGATTCCCCCACAGAGCAAGCAGAGTTCTTCAGCATACCTCTGTAGAGGGCATCTTTCCTCTCAGTAGGAACCCTAAGCCCTTTCTGATGAAGAACTGGCTGACAAGCTAATAAGTAGTGTGACATGCTTGAACCCAAGGAGCCTTAGGAACTGGAAGGCAGAAGAACTGAAGTTCCTGTCACCTCCCTAAGCAACTACCTCTCAGCCCTGATAGTTACCTGTCTCCTCAGGAAACCGCTGGACTTGGGGTCTGCAAAAGCAAATAACAGCACATTAACGGCCTATTGGTTTAAGGAGATCCTCTTTCCTCAGTCCAGGCCTATGCACTAATGGAGAGTGTGTCTCACTGGCCTGGACTTGTGTTTTTGTTGCTTAGCAACCAGAACTAGACTGTCCCCCCAGTTTCTAGAAACCACCAAAGAAAGCCACATTGGCGGCATAGCTGGGAGCTTGGGAGTGTTTAACATTCTAGGGGATGTTTCCCTGATATCCTGGACCTACGAGCAGAATGTAGGGCAGGGAAAGGGAACCCCTCCCCTCTTTGGACATCGTCTTTAAAAACCCTAGGACTGAGGGGACCACCACAGGTGAAGGGTGGGGCAAAACCAGTTCTGCAGCTCAACTTGAGTTTGAAAATTCTTGAGTTTCCTTGCAGCAATGCCTGGCATTGACCTGCTGCACTCACTTGCGTGTGAAAATGCTCCTTCTTTCTTCATTCTTGTTGATATCTTGACTTAATTTACTGAGAATCCTACAAGGTAAAGAGACACATGAGGAGACAAAACAACTTCCTCCTGGCCGCCACCTTCCTGCTCCCTGATCTACATGGCCTCAGAGTAGCTGGGCCAAACTTGGCCAGCCTCTTTTGTGTGTCTCATTCCCCTGCCCCCAGCCAGCCCCACCAGGGTTCAACTCTACTTCTTACTTTCTCTTAGAACTTGCCCCTTCTCCCTCAACACCTGACCTGGCACCTGCCAGTTTCCTGCTCCCAGGAAGCCTTCTATCATCTCCTCATCTATATCTATTGAGCCTTCAAAGTACAGCTCACAGCCCTCCTTAAAGACTGACCACCTCACACCTGCCTCTTCCTGCTCTGTAAATCTGTGGCCTCGGGATCTAGACACTGGAGTTGGATCACTTATGGTTCTGTCATTCCTGGGGCTGCAGTTCCTTGAGCCTTGGTTGATTATACCTGAGCTGATGTCTTGCTCACACAAATGGTCAAGCCACTTGTTAAACCCCAAGGAATCAGTTACCCACTGCATTTCTTATTACAATCTCTAATGGGGTATCATTTATCCTTCCATTATCCCTGTTTGCTGCATTTGCTTAGTGACAAGATATGATGATCAATCTTCCCTGTCAGTTTGATTGGACTGAGAAACACCTAAGAGATTAGCAAAGGGCACTTTTGGGTGTCCCTGTGAGATCTAGAGATGATCAGATCATGACAGCTCTGACTTAAATAATGGTTAAATTCATTTGAGGCAGGATAGAAATCCAGGAAAAATCATAGGGGCATAGCAAAAGGAGTTCTTTCCCTGGGACCTGGTCAAAGCTTCTCACCAGCTGAAAATCAAGAATTCTAGCAAAATTAACATTTACCATGAAGCTTGTGGTAGAGACATTTTTATATAAAGATATTTTCAAATAAGAATATTAAAATAGTAATGAATCATGATTAAGACCTAAGTGTATATGACCATTCTCCCTTCTCAGCTGTAAACTTGCAGTTTTCTAAGAATCTCACCAGAAACCCCATTTACAGTAAAAGACATATCTTAACCCCCTGTGTGGTCCTGTGGCTCTTGGTTTTATTTTATCAGATTGTAACACCACCAATCTAGAGCCATCCTATAATCGCACTTATCAAAAGGAGGAAAGAAGAAGCAAAGTTACTTAGCAACCATCTGAGCTATAATTTGACAGCAACCAAAATGGAATATATAGGTACTGCTAAGGCACTTTCAGGATACTGTCCTTTGAGAAGCCTGTACCCAAGTGCCTGGATGTTCCCCCCGAGTGCCTCTCTTTCTGTTTACCCCTGTGTCTACATTAAATATTCTGTTTGTTAATAAGCTCCAAGTCTGCTTCATACTGGCTCATCCTAAAATTCTTTTCTGCAGCAAAGTCAAGCAATGGCTTAATCTGAGCAGAGGTCCCTCAAAGATAAGGGAACTCTCACAGCCGCTGGAAGTGATTCTGGGTTGTAGCTCTTGCTTCATAGCGCAGACACATTGAAGCATTCAGATTTTCCACGGGAGATGGCAGATCCTCGGCAGGCCTACTTGGAAGAAGTTGGTTTCTGGAGGCTTATGAAGGGAATGTTCAGACCCCAATCTCTTCTTCTGTCTCTTTCTGCTTCTAGTCCACCATCAGTTGCAAAGCTCTGCTCTACCATACCCTTCCACAGTGATAACTCTGCCTCATCGCAGGGCCAGAAGCCACAGAGCTAGGCAGCAAACATTGAGACCTCTAAAACCATGAACCAAAATACATCTTTCCTTTAAGTCGTTTTGCTCAGTTTTTTGACACAGTGACAAAAACTAACTCACACGGATTTTTACAGAAACTTGGAAACACATTCTCAGTCAAGAAACAGCTTGTAGACTGTAGAGGGAGGGTCTCCTCGAGCACCCATCCCCTAAGGCCATACCTGGTCAAGATACTCAAGATGCCTTGGGCTCAAGTACTTCCACACTGAACCACCAATTTGCTCAACCCTAGTGCAGGGAGGGCCTTTGCTCCCAGGACTGTATCTCAAGCATGCCCTGGCAATCCTCAAATTTCCAGAGCATGAGGCTCCAGCCTCCAGACTCAGGGGGCCCTCCTTAGTAAGTGGACCCAGTCGGTGTTCCCTAGAGATTCAGTGTAACTGGAGGAACCTCAGAAATCATCTATTTTGAAGGAGATGACTGATAGAATATGCGAACCTCAGAAAAACCATGAGCTTCCTTAGAGGAAGCCATTAAGGCATAAAAACCATCAGAGTGGCCGAAAGGTTCTAAATTGTAAAAGTACAAAGTTTCACCAGTGACCCAACAGTTATAAAGACCTGGGTCTGCTCATCCCTTATCAGTTGGTCACTCCCAAGCCTGAGAGGAAATGTTTGTGGAGCCCACCTGTCTCCTCTAAGGCCATCGATAACATTCCTGCCAGTTCCTGGGTAAATAATCTTGAGGAGACCTTTGAGCCTGGGCACTAACTAGACTCCCCACTAAGTGTAGTTGTGTTCCACAACACTGGTATAAACCGCCCCCTCATCCATCCCCTCCGCCCCACCTCTCACTGTATCTTCTTTGAATAAAGGAAGATCTATTCCTTGCCTGTTGCAGGTCTGGCTCTGGTTTCTTGTCTCCTACTCCTCTATCTATCCTTTTATTTTCCAAAAAATCTAACAATGACAATTTTAAAGGAGATGACAGAGGTCCAGACAAAAATGTAGGTTAATGATGAGGACCACTTGTCTCCTCAAAACATACACCAGCCAACAAGCCATCCTCTCTAGTTTACAAGCCAGTATCCTTTCAAAAAAAAAAAAGCAAAGCATCCTCTTTGTGCTCAAGCTCCCTGGGAGAGGACACTGTTGAACCTCTTTTCATCTATAAGAATGGCATGCAAGTTAAGTCCCTTCTGCTTGATAACCATCTCAAGTTAGTCTCATACAAACTTGCTAAGTTAGCACAGGCAGTCCTTAACACCCCCAACTTGGCCTCTTAGTTCCTTCGCATCACCCCAGGGGGTCCCAGCTCACTGCTCAATCCCCTGTGACCTCATCAGAATGATGAGACAGATGAATTTGAACAGACTGAAGACTTGAAACTACAGAGAAATAAGGTAATGCTAGCCGTTCCATAATAATGTCATTGTTGGAGTTTTAGACCTCGGTCACTGTCCGGGGTGCTTTAAAGCCGAGAGAGGGCTTCCTAGTCCCCTCAGCATGAGGATGTTTGTGGCATAGCCATTGTTCCATGCAGCATAGCAATAGTTGTTTAGAGCAGATAGCAGGCTTGCTGAAGGTCTCCTACAGCACGGTCAGAGGAGTTAGAGCCCTGCCTCCTGCCAGGACTGGTGGCAGTGGCTGCAGCTACCACTCCCTCCCATTCTGTCACCTGCTTATTCAATAATATGCATTAAGTGCCAAGAACTCCGCTGGGCACCCAAAACACTTCAGTGAACAAAACAAAGTGCTCTGTTCTTAGATCTGATGGCTTGTGGAGAGGCAGACAAGGGGACTAGGGCTTGCTGAGCAAGCATGAGGACCTGAGTTCTAAGTTCAATCCCCAGCACCCACATAAAAAGTCAGGTGTGGTAGTGTGCACTTGTAATTCCAGTGTTGGGGAGCCAGACACAGGCCCTAGGATTCACTGGATAGCAAGTCTAGGCCCCAAGTCTAAATGAGAGTCTGTCTCTGAAAACAAGGATAGCTCCTGAGGGATGGCACTCGAAGTTGACTTCTGATCTCCATACACCCATACCCACACACCTGTACCCAAATGCTTGCACATTCATATGGGAGAGAGAGAGGAAGAGAAAGAGAGAGAAAGAAAGAAAGAAAGAAAGAAAGAAAGAAAGAAAGAAAGAAAGAAAGAAAGAAAGAAAGAAAGAGAGAGAGAAAGGAAGAGAGAGAGAAAACAAGCAACAAATCTTCATTTATTTGTTTGAGATAGTGTAGTCTAAGCTGGCTTGAAACTTGCAATCCTCCTGCCCCAGCTTCCTGAGTGCTGAGAGTAAAGGTGAATGGTACCCACCCACCTGGCTAGCAGTGAAAACTTAAGGAAGTAAAATACATGTGTACCATGTATGCCACATGTAATGGTGGTGGGAAGGGGTTTGGGGAACAGTGGGGTTACAATTTAGAATTACCAGCTCTCAACAAGGGGGTGACATTTCAGCAAGGCCAGAGGAAGGTGGAGCTGAGTCTGGCTTCAATGCCCCCATCCCACACAGCTTGGCTGGGCTTCAACTGGCTCCAACATGCTCTGAATGTTGAAAAGGTCTCTCACTCTGGTGTGGCACTTCTCACCAGTATCTCTAACAGCCAGCCTGAGGCTGCTGGGGCTCTAACTGGTACGGAAGGAAATGCTAAACCGCAGGCCCCACACAGAGCAGCAAAGAGCTGAGAAAGGGCAGGATGATACAGGCAGTGTGCACGCAGCAAAGTTTGGCCTCCCAGAGTGCTGCTGCTGGAATGGGCTTCTGAGAACTGTTCCAAGCCAGTGGGACCCTTGTTGGGGTCAGGCAGTTGAGTGGCTATGGGGCAAGAGGGCAGGGCGTGGCTGCTACCTCTGTGCAAACCTAAAAAGCTGCACTCCACCCCCAGTGGATCAAATGACAGTGAGTGGCAGGAGGTGACTCATTCCTCCTCCTCCCCACAAGCCCTGGGCCTCTCACAACCAGGGAAGGAGGAAGAGAGGGCTAGGCAGCCACAGACAGCTCTCTCTGCTTCCTCTCATTCAAGGGTGGTACTGGCTTTGGGAAGAGGGCTGGACCTCTCAAAGGAAGTCAAGCCATTGCAGGAAAGTGGTATCATGTGATGACTTAGGTTCCAATTCAGCTGCTGTGTGATATGGCCAGTCTTTATCATCACAATCTAAGATCTCTCCCAGCCAAGTACAAGGGGCAGAAACTGCAGGCATGAGGTTCTGACTATAGCGTCTTTCCCCAAGGCCAGTATCCACTGTGTCTTCAACAAGAAATTTGCCCTCCCAAGGTCTCAAGTTTTTTATCCATATAATGAGAAGGTTACTT